TTTCCTCAGTGTGAATGTTGCCCCTCTGGTGCCCCATGGCCGGTTGCTCCAAGGGACGTATCTCCGTAGAGTAGGTGGGTGCATTGCCCTGGGTTGGGTGTTCTGTATGTAAGTCTTATTACTGTTGGGCTGAGAGTCAGCCCTTGGGAGTGAGTTTTATCCCAGGCCCAAAGTATATCCCACAGCCATAGTCTCGGGGGTCCCAACAGACTCCATCTGCAAGCCATGGTATTTTCTATCACCTCTTATGCATGTGGGAGCTGGACAGTGAATAAGGAAGACCGAGGAAAAGTTGATGCTTTTGAGTTATGGTGTTGGAGAAGAATGGTAAGAGTACCACGGACTGCTAAAAGAACTAACAGATCTGTCCTGGAAGAAGTATAGCCAGAATGCTCCTTGGAAGCGAGAATGGCCAGACTTTGTCAGACCTACTTTGGGCATGTTGTCAGGAGGAACCATTCCCTGGAGAAGGATGTCATGCTTGGTAAAGTGGAGGGTCAACAAAGAAGGGAAACACCCTCAATGAGATGGACTGACACAGTGGCTGCAACAAGGGCTCAGATATAGCAAGGATCATGAGGCTGGCACAGGACTAGGCAGTGTTTGTTTATTTCTGCTGTGCATAGGGTCACTATGAGTCGGAGATGACTTGATGGCACCTAACAACAGTGACAACACACATAGCGAGATTTATCTCAAGGAAATAGCTCATGCCGTTGTAGAGGCTAAAGCAAAAAAAAAAAAAAAAACCAAATTCACTGCCGTCAAGTCAGTTCTGGCTCATAGTGACCCCTCCTTGAGTTCTGAGGCGGTATCTCTATGGAAGTAGATTGCCCAGTCTTCCGAGGAGTGGCTGGTGGGTTTGAACCGCCAGACTTCTAGTTAGCAGTCAAATGCCTTAGGCAGTACTTCACCAGAGCTCCTGTATTATAGAGGCTGGCAAGTTCCAAATCTGTGGGTCAAATATCAGGCTGGAGGCTTTTCCAGACTCATGAAACTGCAGAGGCTGACAAATCTAGGATCAGCTGGTAATATGGCAGGCTGCTGGCTCAAGTCAAAAGAACCAAAGTCAGATGATGTCGAGCCAAATTTAGGATCCAGATTGAGCAAAAAGCAGAGAACTTTGCCAGAACACCCATATATATATATATAGGATGCAGGCCACATCCCTGAGGAAATTCCCTTTCAACAGATTGGCTGCTCCTAGAAGTTCTCATCACAGAGGTTTTGAAATTATATCTCATTACAGGGAATGACTGCTTCATAATGGCCAAACCACTTAGGATCATGGCCCACCCAAGTTGATACGCAACCTTAATTGTTGCACGTTCTTTGCTTTTCCTGAGAATTTTGTGAGCACAATCTGTCCACAGGCTTGGGTTTATTTTGGAACCTTCTATAAGGAACTCTAAAAGGAGCTCTGGTGGCATAGTGCCTAAGGCATTTGACTACTGCAAAAAACCACGAGGAGGCCACATGTTCTGACCTCCTCTAACCCCACAAGAGGAAGACAGGATCGCAGCAGTAACCCAAGGCCTATTCCTACAAGGCCAGGCATGCTGCCTCCCTCCAGCCCTTTCTCCAACCGTTCCTCCCAAAGCACCCACCGCCTCTCTCCTGGGTTCGATAATTCGCTGCAGTGGCCACACAGAGCTCACACACAGATTATGGGGTTTGTTAGGGAAGCACCACACGCTACAATTCAAGTTCAGGGAAAATGCTCAGTCTCTCTCCCAGCCCACTGTCCCTCAGCCAACAGTCTCTCACAGTCTCTTTCCCAGCAGTGCTGGTCCCTCGGTGTCTCACTCAGCAATGCATGTCTCTTGCATCTCTTTCCCAGCAACGTGTATCTCAGGAGCCCGTGTCCCTTTCAGCAGCACATCTTTCTCAACCAGCAGTCAGAGAGAGTTCTGCCTCCAGGAAGCCTCCCTTTTGAGCCCGGCAAGGGTGGTCAAACTAGCCAATCATAACATCAGAACTCTAAGCATGTGAGAGGGAGTGGGAACTTCCCAGAACATTGTTTTGTGCCACTCCCAACAGAAATACTCCAGGTGGACACCTTCAGCAATCAGGAGCTCCTCAGTTGCTCATAGCAAATCCCACCTTGGAGTTTACAAAGACTTATGGGTAGAAAAGCCACACAAAGTAATTTACTACACTGCAACTACTAACAAGAAGGTTGGTGGTTCAAACCTACCGGCCACTCCATGGAAGGAAGATGGGGCAATGTACTTTCATAAGGATTTACAGCCTTGAAAACCCAGTGGGAGGTCACTGTGAGTCAGAATTGACTCAGTGGTGGTGAGTTTTATTTGGTTTTTGGTTTCTCTAAGAAGCTCTGGTGGTATAGTGGTTAAAGCATTTGGCTGCTAACCAGAAGGCTGGCGTTCAAACTCGCTAGTCACTCCATCAAGATAGATGAGGCAGTTTACTTTCATAAAGATTTACAGCCTTAGAATCTCAACGGGGGTGATGGTGTGTCAAAATCGATTCAATAGCTGTGAGTTTGGTTTGGTTTGATATCAACAGATTAAAAAAAAAAAGACTCTGACCCCAAGAATTGCAATGACACTTTTTAATGGCAGCTTCTAAGTGGCAGTGCTATGCCTCAAGTCTTTTAACAACTAAACCAAAAAACCAAACTCACTGCCGTCGAGTCGGATCCAACTCAGCGACCCCTCCTTGGGTTTCCGAGGCAGTATCTACAGAAGTAGATTGCCTGACCTCCTTCCGAGGAGTGGCTGGTGGGTTTGAACCACCAGCCCTCTGGTTAGCAGTCAAATGCCTTAGGCACTATGCCACCAGAGCTCCTTTTAACAGCTGTTGTTGTTGTTTGCCATTGAGTCGAGCCCGAGACCGACTCAAGCGACCCCTCCTTGGGTTTTCGAGGCAGTATCACTAGGGATAGACGTGTAGCATTGGGAAAGTCAACTGCGCAGGAACTGTTTCAAGTGCTGAGGAGCAAGGATATCTCATTGAGGACTAAGGTGCGCCTGACACAAGCCATGATACTTCCAATCGCCTGGTATGCATGTGAGAGCTGGACAGTGAATAAGGAAGACCGAAGAAGAGTTGATGCTTTTGAGTTGTGGTGCTGGCGGAGAATGCTGAAAGTACCATGGACTGCTAAAAGAACTAACAGATCTGTCCTGGAGGAAGTGCAGCCAGAATGTTCCTTGGAAGCAAGAATGGCCAGACTTCGTCTCACCTATTTTGGTCATGTTGTAAGAAGGGACCATTCCCTGGAGAAGGATGTCATGCTTGGTAGGGTGGAGGGTCGACGAAAGAGGGGGAGGCCTTCAACGAGATGGATTGATACGGTGGCTACAATGATGGGCTCAAGTATAGCAGGGATTGTGGGGCTGGCGCTGGATCGGGCAGTGTTTCGTTCTGCTGTGCATGGGGTCGCTGTGAGTCGGAAATGACTCGACGGCACTTAACAACAGCAACAACATCACTAGAGAAGTAGATTGCTCAATCTTCCTTCTGAGGAATGGCTGGTGGGTTTGAACCGCCAGCCTTCTGGTTAGCAGTCAAATGCCTTAGGCACTATGCTACCAGAGCTCCTTTTAACAACTAGTCATCTTAAATTGTGGAGAAATGGTACTGCTGACTTACTTCTTACCGTGTTTGTTATTTTCATTGCTGAAGTCTGATATTCTCTAAAAAAGCACATCTGTGGAGGCTCACAGATTTTGTAGAATGGTATTTGAACATCAACAAGTAACTTATAAAGTTTGATAATGTTTAATAGTGTCAATTTTTTTAATTGTGATTTGGGTGAAAATTTACAGAGCAAATTCACTTTCCATACAGCAGTTCACATACACTTTGTCTCATGACATTGACTACAGT